CAAAGCCTGAAGGTTTACTCAACTGCACCTTATCTGCGAGAACGATAGCAGGAAAAGGCGTTAGTCCTATTCTTAGTCGCCAAGGTTCCTGAAGCTTTCGTACGTATATATTATACTCTCTGATGAAAAGGGAAAAAAATCCTACTCGAGTCTGACCATACCGAGATCGATACACCCAGTATGAAGCTATGGTAGGACGCCGACATGAGGCATTTTCATCGATTTAGGCCATACGAAGGGATATTTGCCCACCTTGGTCGAAGTCGAACCTCGAACATCCAGATTCATAGCCACGTCACAGGACTAACTCCTGTAAGTGACTTAACGCCACAGCAAGGAAGCAGACCGGTAAGAAGAGAGGAGAACATTCATCATCTAGTGCCACGGATATTAAGATTGGGACCTCGTTGAAAAGAATGGGCCTGGAGTCCCAGAATCCACGAGTTTCAGGAAGCGCAAAAAAGCGAGACACTGCTGCCGATAATGTCGGTATCTGTGTGCTGTGTCGGAGGCTGTCTTGCAGCAATGTCTATGCGACGTTCCCGAGCACTCAACACCCCTCTATGAAAGAATGTGATGCTTTCGAAAGCTAAAAAGACAACCGCGCGAGTGTACCTTTCAAAGAGCTTGTTCACGGCCCTAAGCTCTCTAATCTATTCCCTCCGTATCGGGACTCGAGGCTCCGTCCCCTCGCTAATCGACCTAGGGTAATTAATTATTCTCGCTATTCCTGACAAAGTTCATACCGACATGATCGCTCGTTTGTGTTTGTTCTGTAATTTGGTAAACTGGAGGAAATTTCCGTCCTGAGCGCCACGAAGATACCGGTCTCTTTAACCCGGTACTGTGCCTGGCCCCAACCCGCAGAGATAGCAAGTCTCGTAGAAGGAATGAGGGTTCCTGTCCAGTGTAAGATCACAGACATGAGGCCTGAGATTCAGCTGATGCAGCGGAACATCAATTTGATGTCGAAGCACCAGGACTATGGCATATGAGGCCAGGATATACCCAGCCCGTTAGATCATAGCCTAGCCTATGGCCAGAGAAGCACACTGCGTAGGCTCCTACTGACATCAATGCTCATCACCTGCACAGACCACATGGCTGCACAGGAAGTTAGCATTGCCAACGCCGCCCTCGTCTGAGCTTGCCTAATGCTTCCGTACTTCACTTTGTGAACAGCAGAGCAATCTGAGATATGAAGACATGGTCAGATTCCCAGCCACTATAAAGGCAGCGGGTTGAACACTCCACTTTTTCCTCACCAGCCAACGAGTCCTCGTCTTCGTTTCGACCTCCCTCAACGTCTTCACTTGACATAAAATCCTGATTCACAATGAACGCTTTCATGACCTTCGTCTTCACCATCTTCACCCTCGTCTGCGTTGTTTTCGGTGCTCCCGTCAGTCCAAGGGATGTGTTCGTTCCCCCCTTGATGAGTCCCGCTGCAGGCGCAGTCTGGAAAGTTGGTAAAACCTATGAGATCACTTGGTGAGTGGGGTAAATTCGCCTGCTACCAACATCTGCTCACCCGCGAGGGTATTCTGCGTTTCCAATAGGGACACGTCCAAGGCTCCAGGACAAATCACCAACCCAGTCGGCCGTTTGATCCTCGCCCACAACTCGCGGCTCATGAACCTCGGTAGGCGCAGCATAGACTGTCGATCATACGAAGTGCTGACATAGCCGCTGACAGAACACCCCCTTGCCCAAGGTTTCAGCATCTTGGCTGGCAAGCTCAATGTCACCATCCCGAAGAACACTGCACCTGGAAACAAGTACCAGCTCGTTCGTAAGTATCAAAGCTCTTCGTACAATATCGGCTCGTCACTCATCTTTCATCTAGTTATGGGAGATTCTGGAAACTACGGCGCCACTTTCTCCATCGTGGCGTAGACTGTGTGGGGCATCGAGTCAAAACTGCGGTCGACATCATATGGACCAGGACAATGAACAACTCACGATTTGCGAAAGACCCTGTATTACTCGCGAGTACGCTTGGCATGGACATGTATCCTTTCGGACTTGACTCTTCGGAGGACATTTATATCCTCTACACTGTATTATAATTAGCTCCCATATCATACACCTTACCCGCTTAACAGTACCTACCCTTGTTTTGTATAGTCCCCTGTCTAGTTCTTCTGCTTGTATTCGTGCCCGACTGTCCTACATATACACTCATCTAGTCGGACCCGGTTGTTTACTGGGGACGTTGACGTCTCGTGTGCTCGGAAGACTAGAGAGACGGCTTCTCGAAGTACAGGGGGTATGAAGAATATTAATAAGTCAGACGAATGCTATCCAGGGTTGTCGGTAACGGTAACGCAGTATTGCTCCGGAATTATGAATGGCTAAGTATTAAGCGACATGAATAACAGCTAACCAAGAGTGCGATAATGAATGTGCAATGAGGGGCTCCTTAGCTGCGCTTGGTTTGGGACCGGGAGTTAGAATAGGGTACGTAGTAAATGTAGAGAAGGCTTATTGTGTTCCGTGCTGAGTGTCACGCTGGTCAGAAGATTTATTTATATCATGGTCTTCTGATCATATGGTAACTAGGCGCTCGTGAAGCCAGCATCCGCTAACATTGATCTAAAGGAAGAGTTGATTGTTCTAGAACTATAGTACATATTTCAATGTACGAACGTTCCCCTGATGTCAACCACTGCTAGCAGAATGCTGTCGAGCGAATCTGTAAGGCGACTCACTCTGTTTCCGATGCTATGACCACCGCCTCTTTGTACTCCTGGCGTACACACTTGAACCATCTGCAAATACTCCACACCTTGATGTATGCGAATTGACATACTCTTATCACCATCATGATTCATGAGCGTATATAACGCTGTCACCTGCTGTTGACATCTGTTCTGGAAGTTCGCTGTCACATGATTTCCGTTGCCGAACGTACATAAACTGAGAACCGGACATATGGTCATTGACGGTTGTTCTCCCACCACGGTCTACGTCGCCAGTCCATTCACGGCCAGTTGATGATGCTCGCTTTCGCTGTTCTTTGCTTCTCCCTGCTCTTTTCTGCGGTATTGGGTGTCCCCCTTGCCCAGCGAGACGTCTTCAACCCCACCATCACCAATCCCCATGATGGTACAGTTTGGATGGTTGGTACGAAGGAACAGGTAACATGGTAAGCCGGAACATTATTACCCGTATTCCAGTGATTGCTAACTGCTGATACGTTTCCCAGGGAGACCGACAACATCCCTCCGGACTCCCAGCTCACCAACCCAACTGGCCAGGTTATTCTTGGTTTCCTGGAGAACAACAGCTTGAACCTCCAACTTGGTCAGTTCCCCACGCCTATTACATTGTCTATTCTCGTCCCGTCCATACGGGGCTTCCGCATTATCCCCTCGTCCATTCCATCATCAAGCATCATTCGAACATGATTCTAACGTCTTCTGGCTTCCAGAAAATCCCCTTGCCAAAGGGTTTAACATTCGAGATGGCAAAGTCACTATTACAGTTCCCGATGTCCCCCCGCGCAATGACTATATTATCGTCCGTAAGTGCAACCCCGTTTCGCTTCCACCTAATGAACGGGAAGCTGATGAGCGTGACCAGTTATGGGTGACTCTGGAAATGCCAGCCCTGCCTTTGCTATTACATCGATTTCGGGAGGCTCCTCATCGTCCTCGAGGCCGTCTTCTACCGAGTCTTCTCCTACATCTTCTGCCATACCTCCTGCCACGTCGACACCGTCAACTGCCAGTTCGACTGTCGTAAGCAACTCGCCTCCAATCACTGGTAGCGTGATAACTGGCGGTATCTCTACTACCTCCGAGAGTTCTTTGGCACCAGAAGCGACGTCGACTGCGCCAGGATTATCGAACTCTGTCCTTGCTTCGTTGACTTCCTCAGTGAGCTCGGCATCCACAAGTCTCAGCCAGACAGCGAGTGCTGCAGCTGCATCGGTCACATCTAACGCAGCAGGGTCTAACCACAATATCAAGCTGTGGTCTGTTATCGCCGCACCACTTGCACTTTGCCTCTTCATTTAAGGCACCTCGTGGAATAATGCCCTTACTGTTAAGACTTTAAGACCCCTTCATGTTTACCCTTTGTTCAATTGTTCTACGAACCATGACTAACTTGATAACGCTACCCTTTACCCACCCCCCCAATTCCCGGTGTTTTGTTTTCTCAGTCGCATCTTTCCTACATTACGGACCCATTTTTACGCACATATTCCAATGAACAATCTGACGCTTTTAGTTTTGTCCAATCCCCTACATGTACTATAACCTCATTGGCTTCGCCTCCGTATCTGCTCGTCCTCTTCCTTTGTCTCCCGGTGGGATATACTGCTGGTGCTAGTTCTTTGTTTGTGGGCCAATGTAACATGACCATACCACCCCTCAGTTCTGGACTGGCTGGCGGACGGAACACGGAAGGATCGTCAAATCAGTTTGATTTGTATTGACGCGTGAGGGTTTTGACGTTGTCAGAGGCTCGTTAGAAGCCAAGGCCAAGATAGGGGCCGATGACGTGTGCAGGATGACCCTTTCGGGTACCTATTAGCCCTGGAAGGTTGGACGGTGCTGATCAGGGTCTCGTTCGGTTGACTCCGATGATAATCAACATCACACTAATAAAAATAAATATATGTCTGCTTCCGTCCTGACTTCCGATACAACGAGAGACGGAATATTTGTATAAACATGGCTACTTGGCGCAATGGTAGCGCGTTTGGCTTCGATTGCTGAATGTCTACCAAAAGGTTGCAGGTTCGAGTCCTGCAGTGGTCATTTCATTTTGATAACTTCCTCTTTTTTTAAAAAAAAAACAAAGCAGTTGATTTTGCTACTTCGCTCGATGGCCCGGTAGACACTCGGACGGATAATCCTGAATAGCTGAATGACATTTGGACCTTCGCTCCCTACCATTTCTCAGGGGCATTTATGTAAAAGGGTTGGTCTTAAATGAGGAGGATACATTTTCACTTTACAGAAGTAAAAAAGAGCACAGAACATATATTAAGGCGCTACCAGGGCTCGAACCTGGGTTTCAGGAAAATCCAGTAGATCAGAATCCTGAGTGATAACCACTACACTATAGCGCCGATAGTGTTTCACATCTAAGAGAGTCATAGGTCGTGTTGCATAGGATAAGACCATTCGCTCTCAAGCAGCATGATAAACTGCGAAGGTCTGTTATGGGTTGTGATGCGCCATCGCTTCATATGCTTCATGCTTGCTCCGTTTATCTGTCAGAAAATCAGGGAAGCATGCGCTTGACATTATGTTCCTATAGCTAAAATTGCATGAAATTAACCGCGTTTTTCACAGGAAATATGTCAGATCAAGTGGACACTGTATTCAACTTTTCGGTTCGATACTGGAGGCTTTATAGCTGCAAGATCCCCAAGATTCCGCATTTTTTGAGTCCCCCGTGAATAGACAGGCACCTCCATAATATCTATACAAAATCCTGAGAGATCGCATGCCCAGGCCTGATTTTTGAATTGTGACGGAAATTCTTCATCTCCGGCATACCCATCAAGCTTCAAAACTTCTCTTGATGTGTCTGCTGCTTTTTTGACTCCAGATTTCCTAAATTGACGTAGCTCGTGCACAGGTACTTAAACCCGAAGGATAGCTTGCGAGGATTTCAATAAGAGGCTTAACGAGGCAACAGAAACATACAAGCTTGAAGAATATTATAAACAGCTCCTGGACCAAGGTGTTTCGCACAAAAAAAACCCTTCACAAGGCCCCTAGTTGTCTGAATAGAGGCGGTGTCAAGACCCGGCGCTCAAATGATGCTGTAAACGGATTTTTAGTGGAGAGACTGACAGAGCTGAGAGGATGTTGCTTGATATATATCATGCGCATGTCGCGTTGTGTCGGGTGGCAGTTAATGACACTTCCACAAGTTTAATACGTGGAGGCAGTACAACAATGTTCTCTAGCGGGTGTATTTTGGTTTGGTACTATATTCTTGTGTAGGTTATCATTTACTACCGAGCTATAGAATTTTTGAAATACTTGTGATCGAAACATGGCTAAAATAACATCATTTCATTCTGTGCGTGTCAACGATGGTGTATCACTGTGGGACGTGGCAGGGGAGATCGCGTCGTTCTATTTCGTCGTCTATGTAAACCTCAACCATAACCTTGGTTTCGATGGCATGAGTTCCTGTCGCGAGGTACCTGAATACGGGAGATTTTCAGTGTGTGCTGCGGAGGCGGCAATCAGGGAACCCTGTCCTTGGCTGCCACGTCTTCTGATGCACAAGCTGAACTTAGAACAAGCTGGCCACAAGATGTAGTAGGTGCAGTATTATTGGAATGTAGTGCACGAGAGATCTCTACGCAACTCCAATCCAACACATCCAACACATCGAGCAGAGTGCCGATACTCCTGGGCGCTCTATTAACGCCACCTATCAGCCCTATCTTTATTGTTATAATGACGACAACTCTAGAAGTCAGGAATCAGCGCGGCGATACTCCACGTAACGTAGGTGGCTCACAGATCTAAAAGATTTCTGCTGCCAGGTCGCGGCAGTAAATTTAGAGGCCAATGACGAAAGCCGGATGGAGGGTTTAAATCTACTCAGGGGTTCGGCATCTCGTGGAAATGACCTGGATGGTGTGAGAGTGATTACTCTTAGGGGACGGAAGCGCTCTGCCAAACGCTGGGTCTATCACGGAATGATGGACGCCGTCTGGAACGGAAAACGGCTCCAATCGTCCCCCAGTGATTGACAAAAGCTTCGTGTCTTCGTGGAAGAACATTTTTGTTATCGTTGGCTGGATATAGCACGAGGAGAATCCGGAGTCATCTGAGTATCAGAATCATGAAAATTAAACCTGGTGACCTGTGTCCTCGTGCGGGGCAGATAATAACTTGCCCATGTTGGTGTGGGGTGGCGCTCCTGGGGAGAACGAGGGAGAGACGAGGAAATGAGATGTTTAGTCAGGGTCCCTGATCGAAGGACGATCACAGAACTGAATAGGTTTGCGAGAGTAAGCATGCGTACGTAGACATGATGATCATTAACCACGAAGAGAACAGACAATTGATCCCAACGTTGTTAAAATGGAATTCTCCGGGGCGTGTGAAGTGGAAATGACTATGAATGACTACCATTTTCCACTTTTCGCAGGACGGCCGCCGATATGAGGCCCCTAGCATATATAGAGAGGACTTATGTACAGATGAAGAAGGCTTCTAGAAGATTAAGAGTGCATGGATTGAGTTCATGCCACAGACCGAGTAGACCGTCCGTCAGATGTCGGACTTGAGCAATGATACCGTGCGATCGAAAGTCATATCCACTTGGAGAAAAGAGGTATCGCAGTAAATAGGGCAGCGTTGAGCGGACCAAGGCAGGGCTTAAAATAGGGCCCGAGGGAGGGGAAAGACCAGATTGGGAGAGTCAAGAGATGACGACCAGTGTTGAAAACAGATAAGAGGACATGTCGAGTGATATGTCCGCGGAGATCAGGGTGGGCTGCCATAATGGGTGAAACGCGGTGATTTAGGCGTGGGTGATATGGGGGTAACAGGGAGCGCACAGCATCCAGTCACCGTCGAATGATGAGAGGAAGGTTCCGAATGATTAACCAGGGTCCTTGGAGGTGAGGAGACGAACAACAGAATTTGAAAAAGCAGAAAACTTGAGTGTTGGACATAAATGGCTGGCAGACCTGTCAGGCGAAGAAGACGGGAGGGTGGTGCTGGGAGAAAAGCGTCCGCGATTTTCGCGAGGGACCACTGTGATGTGCTATTATTAGCGCGGGGTGATTGGTCAGCAGGGTTTACAGAGTGCATATTCCTCTCCAGGTGCTCTCCTTCCTTCCTCTCCGGAAAACACGCAGATGGCAGACTCTCAACAACGTCCTCTCAAGCGACAGCGAAAGGCTGCAGACACATCCCACGATATCTCTCAGCCTCTCACTCCCCCGCAGCAAATACAACCACCACAGCCAGTAGACCATATATTCATTGCAGACGGTCTCCTGAACAAGAAACCTGGCGGGAAGAAGGTACCAATTCCGCCAATGTCCTTAGTTAGCCGCACGCTCACCCGTATTTACAGGCCCCGCTATCTTGCTGTGAATGTCGTCGGTAAGCTCTCCGAGTGCCAGTTAAACGCAGAATGAAATTCTGATCCATGATCGTCCTCTTCACAAGCCTCAAACTCAAGGTTCGTACCTCCGCTCCTTAAATCCCAGACAACCCTCCAACCGCTGACCCTGACAACCCCCGAATTCCCAATCCTGTAGTGTGATCGTAATTTCCCTTGCGCCTCCTGCAAGGTAAGTCATATGATAAGCACAGAATGGAAGGCCATCAATCCTCAATGTTTGCCCTCTAGAAACGTGGTTGCGCAGAGATTTGCCCTGATGGTACGCCGCTTCGTCTGCGCTCGCGTGGTCTCATACTAAACATATCTACTCTAGGCGTCCTCGTGTCAGGAAAGGGCACGCGTTTTATCCTCGCCAACACGGAACAACTTCATGCCAAAATACAAGAAATGAGCGATCGTATCCGTAATCTAGAGGATGCTGTCCAGAAAACAGATCCGGACTCTTCGCTTCTGGCGTCCGGTCTTCTCTCGATCAAGAGTACAATGGGTTTGTACTCGAGCAACGGTGGACCCAACCCACAAGAAAGGGACGACGGGAAGAAAGTTAGCCGCGTTACCCCGGACGACACGCAACGGGTCGCGGGCACAAGCAGGGCCGAAAGTGGTTCCGTTGACGACACCGCGATGCAAGTTGACGGACCATCATGTATTGTAAAAACCGTACGTCATTCTCCGATAAACACGACGCGCCCCTTATTCACTCTATTCGGTTTGTCCAGGAAAACTCAATCACGTTCGACCTTACCTCAATACAGTCTGATATCCACCGCCTGAACTATTCATTCCCCCTCCCGAGCAAAGTCCAAAGCAATCCTGAGCGTAACATCGCAATGCGCGAGCACATCCGCTCACAACTTCCTCCGCGGAAGGAAGCCCAGCGGCTCTGGGACCAAGCGAGACGGAACGCGCTCTGGCAATACAACCCCCACCCTTCCACTACTTTCTTCCCAAACCTCCTACATCACATTTACTCGTCTTCGTCGGATCAACAGCCGAAACCTATCAAAGAAATAGATCCTCGGCGGTTAGCGCTTTTGCTCATGATTCTAGCTGTAGCTTGCATCGTGGACGTTCCCTCTCCATCACCTCGTAGCACACCCCCGTCACAATCTCCACCACACCAACCACCGACCACGCCACCCATCTCCAATGCCATTCACGCGGCTCTTCTTGAAGCTGAAACTCGGGCCTCTCGGTATCACGCTCTTGGTCGTGCTTCTTTGTGTGAAGTTCCCATTATGGAAGAGACCAACGTGGAGACTGTACTTGCACTCTTCTATGAAGTGTGGTTCCTTGCCGTATGGAGTGATGGGAAAAAGGCGGTGGGAGAAGCATGGGGGATTATGGGTTTGGTGGCGAAACTGGCACAAAGTGTGAGTTGATTGGGGTAATGATTCGGTGTCAAATGAGAGGTGCTTACCCCGGTTTGAACAGATTGGCTTGCGTAAGTGATCCATACACTTACACCGTTCCAGAAGGTTGAGGTCTTGTGCTGACGTTAATTGTTTAGATCGGAATGGTGGAAAGTCTAAGGTTATACACGAAGAGGTTGAGACGAGGAGAGCGCTATTCTGGGAGCTGTTGTACCTAGATGCTCGACTGGTAAGCCGCTAAACCCAGAATACTCTAAAGTTTTCTGATTGACGTTGCTATAGTCCTTGTCCCTCGGCCGACCCCCGTCATTATCGATCCATCACATGGATTGTCCGAGACCATCGTACATTCCGGACGACGAATGCGAATCCGGCGGGTCATTGCATCATTGTACGTCGCCCGCCTTGGTTTATATTTTATTCCCTTTCTCACGATTTCTTCGGCTACGATAGTCCAAGAATGGAAACACGCCTGTTACCAGCAATGTCTCGTCCCCGTCCTCGATGCCATCTCAAAACCCGGGCAAGAATACAAATCGATCCTGGACCTCGATAGACGAATCCGGGATTTCTCGATCCCTGCTCCGCT